GTAAAGATCGAAAATTTAATATCACAATTTTTTTTTTCCAATATAGAAATGCAGTAGGTAGAACTCATGATTATTAAGCAGTGTCTCAATTACCTTATAAAATTCGTATGTTTTATCAATGAGTACAACATGAATCAGCAACCTCTTAGGCACATAATATGCCAAATATAACTTTGAGAGAACATAAAAGCATCAAGAATAAACATTTATTAAATTTAAAAGACAATGTTGATAAATCACAATCAATCTTACAATTGAACGTACATGAAACTAAATGATCAAGACATTCAATATATCAATTTTGATAATACCATCCAAAAATATTGAGAACCCATTTAAGTCATTGAATTTTCCTGTTTTCCTATTTTTGAGAGGCCAGTTGACAATCCTTACAGAACGTAGTAAGAAGAAAGCACATATAGAATTTAACAGTATAAGCTTCATGGAATTTTCAAATGATACATACGGGAAATGATTAACCTCTGAGCCGACTTGAGAAGCAAGTATAGGTAAATCTTCTAAGTGAACTATGCTGTTCGCCTATGGTGAAGATAAAATCCTAGCGTATGATAGCTATGCAAGATAATATTATTGTGAAACATTGGTTGTTATTGCAAAAAATTAATCACTATTGCCAAAACTAATTTTATTTGATCTAGAACCGATCAGATGAATAAGTAAAACCCAAAATAAATTCTTGAAAAAAATGCAAACATTAAGCTAAAGAAATAAGATAAATCCAAGTAATGAACTGATAATGCATACCCCTCATTTAAGGAAAGTATTAATTTGAATTAGACCCAAGGTTGTTCTAAGAACAACAAACTGTACCGGTTTGCTCTTCTGCAGCTGCTAGATCTCTTTATGCCATCATTTATGTTGTTTAATAGGCCAAGCGGTATGACGTTTCAATATAATCCAAACACCAACCAAATGAGGTTGTCATAGAATAACAGAAACTGACAACCAAATTCAATACTTAGACACAACTAATATGATAAAACACAATCAAATACAAAGCACATATGGCAAATATAAAGTATTTTTTATGAAATAGTGATATATAATGCTAGAAATAGAAACTACAACTGCAATTTAGAAACTGCAACCTTCTAAATAGGAACAGTGCAGCCCCATCCAATGGAACAGTTCAATAATCTAGGAAAAATGTATTTGATGGACTTGTATAGATCTTAAACTCCAGCAACATGAATTCTTACCCCAATTTTTATTTTTATGGCATATATCAAATATTCATTCACTAAAGAAATCACCAATATATATATATAGTTTTTGCTCACAATGCTAACCAGTTCTGACGGGCCCATGGGTAATTTGACCCAAGGTTACTCTCTTTAGGTGTTCAAAACTCCATTTTCTTCAATTTCAAAGTTATGGTAAGGCGGTGACACTGACAGTGGCTTACACTCTCTCAAGCGTTTCTTCCATGTGTTTTTACTATCAACTTGAGATTGCTCTTCAACTGGAGGACAAGCATTTCCGGTGACGATATTATATGCAGTGAATTGGACGAAAGAAAGTTTTACTACCCTTGAATTGTCTTTATGGAAGGATCAAATAAAACCAAAGGACAAAAATAAAAGGAAATTTTTGTTAGAAAAGTAACCACCATAAACAACCATCATAAGCATCAAATAAGTAAAAAAAAAAAAAACCAACTCCAATGTGAAGAATTTGTTAATTTTTGAACAGTAAAACAAATACAGAGGAAAAAGACAACTAAATTTCCAAAGAAAAAAAAAAGTAATTTAGTAAATTTAGACAATCTAGCTAAAATCAAAATTATATTTACTAAATGGTTCTCAATAAAATATTAATGTTACCTAGTAATTACCTAGTTTGACTTGTGATTATGAAAGTCTTCGAAAATTAACACCAAAAGTAGCCATAATAGCAATTGTAGATGAGAAAACAAAACATCCAGAGTTAGGTAAATTGGAATATTGAATAAAACCTCAAAATAAGAGACAATATATAGAAGAAAACAGCTATGTCTACTTGAAGGTAAACTTTCATTCAATTAGCATTGAAGTTTTAGTATACATGTAATTGATGTAAAAAAATACATGCAGGAATTATCCATCAACAAGAACATCAAGACTATCAGGCACACCAACATCCATTCCTTTTAACTCAAAATAAATTGAAAGTGCAAAATTTTAAATAGATATAAATATATAAAGTAGCTTGAGAGATTTAAAGTACCTAAAATAAAAAATTTGGAAGCCTTCCTACATCTGCGAAAGTTCATTAAAAAATATTTATATCAGTAAAAATAAAGCAAAATTGCAAGACAATCAACCAAAATGTAAACTAAAAAATATAAAGATTTTTTTTAAAAAAATTCAAAATTAAAGAGAGAAAAAATGAAAATAGCGTAAAAAAGGAATGGCCAAAGTTTGAAAAAAGTTTTTTATAAGTGATTTTTTTAAAAAAAATGATAAGATAACAAAATTGGAAACAATAATTTCAATTAATTTAAAACGTAATGCAAACGAAATTTATATACATAAAAAAGACAAAAAAATCTGAAAATAGATTTTTGAAGCAAGCAAAGAGAGTCATGGAGATTGAATTTTTGGCAAGTAAAGAGGAAGAGAGTACGAAAACACCAAAAAGGATAAACATGGGAAGGAAAGGAGCACCGTTCGTCATGCTAAATCCAACATTGCCATAGTCGGATCTCTTGACTTGACCAGATATGCTCAAGGACTTCTTTTTTTATTCCTTTCTTCGTTTCTCTTTCTTCTTTTTCGCCCTTCCACTCTTCTGTTCTTTACCTTCTGTTATCCTGATTCTCTACACCCCTTGCTGCTTCCTTTTTTTATTTTTATTTTTTAAGAATGAAAGAGGTGGCGTGTAGGCAAAACAAAAGGAATGAACATGCAAAGATGTTGGCATTGATTGAATGCCGACATCCCAACAGTGAATTTAATTGTTTGGTATTGATTGTTATGAGATGTTTTTAAAGAAGCTAAGAAACGGAGAAAAAAATGCGAAGAAAGAAAGAGAAAAAAAATCAACCCATGTTAAATCTTTCCATTACTATCTCTTCTTTAATTTTTACTTTGTCTTTTAAGAAAGAAAGCCAAAACTTTATTTTGGTAAAAATCTACGTTATTATAGATTAAAAAGTATCCCAAAAAAGATTAGAGGGAATAGTTGTCGGAATTTACAAAATAACCATTTTACCCCTTAAGTAAAATGGTTGATACTATTTAATATTATGAATTTACTATTTTATCCATTAATCTAAATAAAAAAATAATACAATTGTAAAGAATTATTTTTATTATATTTAATTTTTATAATTAACAAATAAAAATTAAGATTTTACAAAAAATTAAATATTTTCTGAAAATAAAATTTATTTAAATAAAGAATTTATTCTCACAATCTATATTACTATAGATTAAAAGTAATGGTTGATACTATTTAATATTACAAATTCACTATTTTATCTGTTAATATAAATAAAAATCAATACAACTATAAATAATTATTTTTATTATATTTAATTTTTATAATTAACAAATATATGATTATATTAATATTAGCATATATTAAGATATATAAAAATTAAATATTTTTTAAAATAAAATTTATTTAAATAAAAATTTATTCTCATAATAATACACTAATAAAAAATTATAAAAATTAATAATTAAAATAATTATCTTTGATTTATTATTACTACTTTTATTTTTTATTTATTTTATTATTAATTTAATTAAAATTATAAATATTTGAAAAAATCCCTCGTGAAGTAGCTGAAGCACTCTAGTAAATATAAAAAACTTTCTTTTCTTTAATTGGAAAACCAACAGGAAAGAGACAGAGTTGTTTATGTGTGAAAAAGTTAAAATGTGTTTTGATTGGTTTTGATTTGGTGGTGAAAGGAAGAAAAGGGAAAGGATTGAAGAAAGAGAAAAAGTTACTGATTTCGATGATACTAATGTGTTGAAAAAATAAAAGATATTATATTTGATAGTTTTTTTAGTAAATATATGGTGTTCATTTGATTTGGAAAAAAAAAAAAAAAATCAACTGAGTGCCACGTAAACAATTCAATAATTTCCAAAGTCTAAAACATATAATATTCAGGTTATTCGAATTGATAAGAAATTAATTGATAATTTTAATTTAATATAATATTAATAAAAATATTATTTTTATATAAATTATATTTTAATTTTATATAAATATAATTTTTATTAAATATAATATTAAATAATAATTTTATTAATAATAAAATATATAAAACTAAAAAATAATTAAAATATATTTTTAATATACGATACGATATGAAATATTTTAAATTTATTTTTATTTTATTTGAATTATAAAAAAATTTAACCCAATTCTAAATTTTAAAAAAACACACATATTGAATTAAAACGAATTAAAATTCATTAGATATAAATTATTCTATTATTCCTAATTTCATAATTCTTGTATAAAATTTATTTAATTAAAAAAACTAAACGATAGATGTAATGACAAGAAAAATTAAGAAAAGAAAATAAGGCCAAATGGGCTATTCTTTATTTTTACATTCAATTATATTTTTTTTATAAAATTTATCTAATTAAAAAAATTTACAAAACAAAGAAAAGTACCAAAAAAAAAAAGTAGTACGGACATTTATTGACTTTTTTTTATAAAATTTATTTTATAAATTTAAAAGATTTAAAATTAAAAAAATTTTAAAAAAATAAATCCAAATGCTGCACTGATATTTTTATCGATATTTTTTCTTATAAAATTATTTAATTAAAAAATAAAAAACTTAATTAATAATATCAAATGAGTTTTGATGCGAGTTTTAAAAAATTAAGATAATTTATTAAATATATAAAAATAAAATTAGAGTAAGAAAAAAACTATAGCTTTGCCACTTGGCAAGTCCGAAGTCAAAATTTGTAAAATTAACAGCATGAATAGATGGATGGATGCTTATGAAACGGGTGAATCTTGAATGTGTTTCAGCATACGTATGTGGTGTGATGTAGCAGATGAATTGGTGGAGCTTGGTTTTGTGTTGCAAGCATTGATTGGTGTATAAGATTGTGGTAGATGTTTTGAGATAGTCGTATCTTGTATGTGGCAAATGTAGAACTTGTTAAGGTGAAGCAATGAGATCAGGTGTACCGTGTGGGTGAGAGGCGTAAGAAGAGTAGGAAGAGTGCTTTTTGTTTTGTTTTGTTTTTTATTTTTTAGTACTAGGGAAGAGTGCATTTGCCTTCAGTAATACACAAATGTAGGAAGACGGATGGGGGAATTGGGTTAGGGGTTGTGTTGCGGCTAAGCTGTTGTCTCCTGCCTTGAAAGCTTATAATGATGAGGCGTTACGGTTGATTGATTGCTCAGCGAAGAAGAGAAGCAAGCCGAGGGTTAGGAAGTTCGGGCAGGAAAAAGCAAAAAAAAAATAGAAGCAGCAGAGTGGGAGGTGGAGCTACGAGATCTGAGCTGAAGCGACCCATTATTTGGCTTTGATCTGGATTTTGGAGTTTTTATTTATTTATTTATGTTGTTCAAATTCAGTGCTTTGAGTTTTTTTTAGATTAAGAGGAAATTGCGTACATGAATGGATCAAAAACAATGTGTGTTGGCGTTTACCAGTGCTGCTGACTTTGTAACAGTTCCGAAATGGTTTAATAAATGAATTATACTATACAATAAAACTTAAAGCCTTTTCACTTGGTTTTTTTAATCATCGGCGTCTTTGAGTCATCGCCCAGTCTGGGTCACCCACACGAGAGCAGACTTGGAGACAGATTTAAGATTGGATATCTCAAAAGTCGATTCTGATCTGAATCGAAGCAGCAGATCCATGAAACCCTCCTTTTCCTTGTGTTCCGCGTAAGCTCTCAACAAGTCTCTCTCTCTCTCTCTCCGCTTCCTTAATCTAATCTTACCGTAATTATTGGCTAGTAGTGAAGTATTGTTATTATTGGATTTGAATGGCTTCCTCTGGAAATCCCAATCCACAACCACCAGGTGGGGTTGGAGGTGGAGGTGGAGGTGGAGGATTCGATATGAACAAACTGTATAAGCCTTCTTCCAGCCCTATGCTGCAGCAGCCGCATCCGCATCATCATCATCATCATCAAAATGTAAACGTGATAGCGACTCCTCCAAGTCCAACTCCAAGTCCTAACACTACCAACCTGACCACATCCCCATCCTTCCCGGCCCAATCCTCCACACCTCCTTCTCCTCCTCCCTATCTGACACCTTCCTCGTCTTATCCTCCTCCCACTGGGCTCTACCCTTTCCACCACCCTCACTACCTTCCCTATCTGCCTCCTCTTCAACAGCAACAACCCTTGCATCCTCATCCTCATCATCTTCAGCCCCAGTTTAATATGAATAGACCCATTCCTTACCATGTCCAACCCCAGCCCTCACCACCGGCCACTCCTACTTCCGGAAGCGACCTTTTGGCGGCCTTTTTTGGCACACCTACGCAAACTCAAATTCAAACTCCAATGCAAACTCCTGCTTCTCTGCCTTCTGCCCCACCTCTTAGCATGAATGTCACCCCATCTGCCCCTTCTCCCTCTCCCGTCCGACTGTTGAGCAGCAAGGCCCCCAAGGGCAGGCATCTCTTTGGCACCGATCTCCTTTATGATATTCATGTCAGGCTGCCGGGTGAAGTCCAGCCCCAACTTGAGGTCACTCCCATTACCAAGTATGCTTCTGATCCTGGCCTTGTTCTTGGTCGTCAGATCGCTGTTAATAGGAATTATATTTGCTATGGTCTTAAGCTTGGGAATATCCGTATCCTCAACATCAATACCGCCCTCCGATCCTTGCTTCGTGGTCACACTCAGGTACTTCTATAAAGTTCTATACTATAGTATTTTGTTTCCAGCTCAGCCTTGTTATTTACTTCGTTTATCCAAATGTAGAGGGTAACAGATATGGCTTTTTTTGCCGAGGATGTCCACCTCCTGGCCAGGTACTCCTTTTCCATTCTTGTTACTCATTTCCTGGAATAGATTGACTTCATTTTGTGTTACTAGAACATGCTCATCTTTCATTTTATGCAGTGCAAGTGTTGATGGCCGGGTTTTTGTATGGAAGATCAATGAAGGCCCTGATGATGAAGATAAGCCACAAATTTTTGGCAAAGTTGTTATCGCCATTCAGATTGTCTGTCAAGAAGAATCAACACATCCACGAGTCTGCTGGCATCCTCACAAACAAGTAATAAATGGGTTTGTAATTTATGTTATCAAATACTAAACATTATGCTATGTCTTTGTATTGATTCTATGGTCTTGCTTTCTCTAGATATATTTTATTCCTTCTTGTAAATGTTCAACAAATATTATCTAACAGGAGATTTTGATGGTTGCTATTGGAAATCGTATCCTGAAAATTGATACCATGAAAGTTGGAAAACTTGAAGGGTTTTCAGCAGAGGAACCTCGTAATTGCTCTGTTGATAAGCTTATTGATGGGGTTCAGTTTGTTGGTAAACATGATGGTGAGATTACAGAGTTGTCAATGTGCCAATGGTTGACCACCCGTTTAGCTTCAGCTTCTGTAGATGGCATGGTTTGTACCGAATTTTTTCCTTGTTTACTGTTTTAGTGTCCTCTGTTTTTCAGTTCTTGTTATTGTAATTGCTTCAGCAAAAAGAAAAAAAAATGAATGATTGTCATTTCTTGAAGACAGAAATCCTACTTGAAGTTCAAATGCTTCCTATCATGGCGAAAGTTAACATGTAAACTTGACAATGTTTTAGTTCCAACTAGTGTTGATGGCTGTGGTGATGTATGTTGGGCCTTTCGAATGCATGTAAAAGGTTTTTGGGTGTCCAATTTAATCTTTATTGAAAAGTGGTTTTCTGATTGTAACATTTAATTATGATTGTGCCATTATTGTTATAAATGACCTTTCTAAGGCCCAGAAAACTAAAATTTTGATCTGACTTGTGTCAATTTTTCCACTAGGCTTATGTGCTTAGAGCCAGAATAGATGACCTGTATTCATTCTCCATTTTGGCACTGATATTCATGGAAACCCTGAATTTCTGCTACAGGTGAAAATTTGGGAAGATCGTAAGGCCTTACCACTTGTAGTGTTGAGACCACATGATGGTCATCCTGTTAACTCAGCAACGTTCTTGACTGCCCCACATCGCCCTGATCACATTGTTCTCATCACGGGAGTAGGCTTCTGTTCTTTTCTTTTTTATAAAACTTTTCTATGATCATGTTAAGCTTATGGGATGTTAACAGAACACTTTGTTTTTCTTTTTTTTGTTTTTTGCTAGTAATGTGGCATGATATTGGACGTTAGTATACTTATTGATTATGTTTATGTTTCTGAATTTAGCTCTTTTCATCATGTAAAATGTCTAATTGGCATTTTTCTTTTATTTACAGGGCCCACTAAACCGCGAAGTTAAGATATGGGCCTCCGCAAGTGACGAGGGCTGGTTGTTGCCCAGCGATGGTGAACCATGGCAATGTACCCAGACGTTGGAGTTGAGGAGTTCTGCAGAGTCAAGGGTTGAGGATGCATTCTTTAATCAAGTTGTGGCACTGTCCCGTGCAGGCTTGTTTCTGCTTGCAAATGCCAAGAAGAATGCTATATATGCTGTACACATAGACTATGGGCCTAATCCAGCAGCAACCCGCATGGATTACATATCTGAGTTTACTGTTACAATGCCGATATTGAGTCTCACCGGAACAAGTGATAGTTTGCCAGGTGGAGAACATACGGTGCAAGTGTACTGTGTTCAGACACAGGCTATTCAGCAATATGCACTGGACTTGTCTCAATGCTTGCCGCCACCACTGGAAAACACAGACTTGGAGAAAACAGATTCTAATGTTGCTTGTGTTTTCGATGCCATGAACTCTGATGGTTCTGTTTCTCAGGAACTATCTCATGGATCTAAACCAACTGAGATGACTCCAAGCTCCGCAATTCCAATGTCACCTATAAATTCCAGCAGCTCTGAAGGTGCCGCCATGGGTCCACAAAAATTGTCTTCTTCTGAGGTTACTTCCATATCTGAAAGCATTGTGTCAGGCATGGAAAGTAAACCAAGTGCATTGCCTTCTCATCTTAGTGCTGAAAACATGCAGAATTCCTCACCTCCGCTTCCATTAAGTCCAAGGTTATCACGAAAGTCATCTGGTTTTGGAAGTCCATCGAGTGCAGATCATGTTGGTGACCACTCAGCACATGATCATTCTGTTGACCACAGAGTAGATGCCATCAAAGAGAATAAGGTTGATATGTCCTCCTCTGGTGACAACTTGCGTAAAGGTGAGGATATTACCCAAAATAACATTTCAATGATTCCGGATTGTCCTGCAGTGTTCAAGCATCCAACCCATCTTGTAACGCCATCAGAGATATTATCTACTGTGGCTTCATCTTCAGAGAATGCTCAGATTTGTCAGGATATTAGTGTAGCTGAGGTAACAGTCCAAGATGTAGTTGTCAAGAATGATGCTGAAAGTACAGAGGTAGAAGTTGAAGTTGAAGTTGTCGGTGATGTAGAATTTGGTCAAACTAGTGAAACTGAATGTCCACGAGACTCTCATACTGCTGTTGCAGATAACAAAGAAAAGGCCTTCTACTCTCAGGCATCGGATCTTGGTATTCAGATGGCCAGAGATTTATGTGCAGAAGCTTATGATGTTGAGGCAGCTCAACAAGCTAATGATGGTGGTGTTGCAGGACAAGCAGACAGACCTACTCAAGCTGGTAATGTGGAAGACCGGAATGTGATGAAAGATGTCCCTCCCAAGATTGGTGAATCAGACACTGCCATCACTATTTCATCATCTCTAGCTTCTGCTAAAGGGAAAAGGCAGAGGGGGAAAGTTTCTCAGGTATCTGGCCCATCTTCCCCTTCAGCGAGCCCATATAATTCCACAGATTCATCTAATGAACCAGGTTGTAATTCTGGGGCTCTGTCAGCTGATGCTATTTTCCCCCAATTGATGGTTATGAATGATGTGCTTGACCAGGTACTGTTTCCAAAAATAAATAATAAAAGCTTTTTGAAGAAAAAACTTCTTTAAAAAAGAAAAAAAAAAACTCCTTTTTAAGACATCTGTCTGTTTGTGTTAAGTTTTGTGATATCATCTTAATATAATGACTTTGTTGTATCAAGCAGTTGGTTAGCATGCAGAAGGAAATGCAGAAACAGATGAATGCAGTTGTCTCTGGTCCAGTTAACAAAGAAGGAAAAAGGCTGGAGGCATCCTTGGGCAGGGGCATTGAGAAGGTTGTAAAGGCCAACACAGATGCTTTGTGGGCTCGTTTTCAAGATGAAAATACAAAACATGAGAAGTTAGAAAGAGACCGCACACAGCAGATAACAAATTTGATCACTAACTATATGAATAAGGACTTGTCAGCCATTTTTGAGAAATCCTTAAAGAAGGAAATAGCCACAGTTGGCCCTGTTTTAGCTCGTGCTATTACCCCCACTCTGGAAAAAAGCATATCTTCTGCTATTATGGATTCATTCCAGGTAAAAGAGCCAAATTGGTGTTGACATCTCTGATTGTTTGGTGTCCCATTGGAGTGAAGTATTCGTTTATTTGGACTGATGCACCATTATAAATGAAGCCATGACTGGAAATGCAGCAATTTTGTCTTTCTGGAAAATGTTAATGGGTGCCTATTGGCATTGGTTATGGTGATATTTTCTTTATAGAAAAAATTTTGTATTTAATGTATTGTCTTCTTTTGAATTCAGTGAAATAGTAAATTAAATAGAAAATACCTAAAATAGTAATTTAACTAATCTTAAAAAGCACCATAGGTGTTAAAGGGACCTTGTCTTGTTATGGAAAATCATGCTGTAAAGATCTCCTTATGTCTTCTCCTATCTTTTGTCTTTTCTCTGGGTATAATTTAGGAAAGCCTCAAATGTTTCTACACTATTTGTTGCCGTGGTAGTTTTCTTTCATCAATAAGCTTCATTATGTATATTGAATTTGCTCCTCTAAATGTAGTACGCTATGGTATAAAATTTCCATGTGCCACTGAAACGGGTGGTTGTCATAATCTCAATGGGGTTTTAATTGGGTATTTTGCAGAAAGGAGTAGGGGAGAAGGCAGTGAATCAACTAGAGAAGTCAGTCAATTCAAAACTTGAAGCTATATTAGCCAGGCAAATCCAAGCGCAATTTCAAACTTCTGGAAAGCAAGCACTTCAGGTGATTTCTTGTTCATATATCCTCTCTTTTAGAGTAGTTATATTGGCTGTTGATTTTCTTTTATTGAACTGATTTGAAGCTTCCCATGGATTTTTTTCCTCCATTTGGTGCTTGACAATGAAAGGATACTATATTTCTAGATGATAAAGGGTCATCTGTATAAGCATTAACACTGTTGAGAGTATTCTTCTTTGATAAAGGGTCATTCGTCCTTCACTCAGCTCTAAATTCCCTTCTATATGAAATTCTTGTTCCTATATTTCCAAGTTTAGGCTTAGCTTCATTATCTGCTTTCAAGTTTTATGTGGATACATGTGGTTAAGCTTACCTTTCTAAAAGGCAGATGGTATCCTCTTTACGATTTAAAGTTGGATCATGTGGAGTGGGGGGCAGGGGGGAGATATCCTGCCCAGTCTCTTTACTAAGAAGGATTTTGTTTTGGCTTTAGAACCTGTCAGATGAATGTCCAAAAACTGTGCTGCTAGTTATTTCTTTTTATTGCTCTTGGTGTCAGTAAATTCATTATCTGTCAGATTTGCCTTTCTTTAGATCATCCTCCCTGGTGGCAATTTTTCTGTTTCCTTTTGACTATGCTGAACCGTTTTCTTTTGGTTGGAATGAAGGTTCATAAAACTGTTAATTTGAATTTATGTAATGTCGTTGTGCTGATTAGAATATGCTGGATTTGTCCTTGTAGGAGGCACTGAGGTCTAGCTTGGAATCTTCCATTATTCCTGCATTTGAGATGTCATGCAAATCTATGTTCGAGCAAATTGATGTCACATTTCAGAAAGGGCTAATAAAACATACAACTGCTGCTCAGCAGCAGTTTGAGAATGCAAATTCTTCCCTTGTTGTTGCTCTACGGGTATGGTAGATTAGTGACAGTAAGCTCATTGGTTTCTTTGGTCGTAACTTAATTTCCACTTTAATATGTCAAAAATGTTAAATGGACCTTTCATGTTAGTATGAACTATGAAAAAAATTGATTTAATATTCTTCTCATTTTATGCAATTTTAACTGGGCTTGGTAAAAAGACCTTGGGTTATAGTCACTATCTTTTGTAGGACGAGCAGCTGTGGAGTATTTTACAATTTAATTATAGCTATAGATTGAATGATGTTGCATAATGAGTTGTATGCAGTAATTGAGGTGTCCTTTACCCAACCGTGTTTGTGCAAACCCTGTTGCTAGTTTAAGCTTGTATGCTACTGAGATAAATTCTGAAGATAGGTCTTTTTGCCCTATAGTAGGATTTGTGTTTGAATGGAAGATTACTAAGAATTGTTTGAATGGAAGATTACTAAGAATTTAGTGTCAGAAATTGGTGCTTTTTATTGGCATACATAGGCTTGAACCATAGAAGGATGTCCTTTTATATTTATGGAGAGTATTATGCTTTAGGATACACTTCACTGTTGCCAAGAACTTTACTAATGGATGATTATATAGAGAATGTAGTTGTCATCAGCCGATTTTACTGATGTGATGCATGATAGAATGAAAGTGTACAAAGGCAGCTTTTTACATTTATTTAAAGTTTTGCCTGTATGATAGACTTTGCTTGTACAACTAAGTTCTCTACAATGACCTGCTTTAAATTTGCAGGATGCTATTAATTCAGCAACTTCAATCACACAGACCTTAAGTGGAGAATTGGCTGATGGGCAACGTAAACTTCTAGCTGTAGCAGCTGCAGGCACCAACTCCAAGGCAGGAAATCCCTTGGTGACACAGTTGAATAATGGACCATTAGCTCATCTGCATGAGATGGTATGCTCGGTCTCTATTTCTCCTCCTCCCTTTGTGCCTGGAAATTGAAAAAGAAGAAAATCTTTGATGCAAATACTAATGTATTTTGTTATAAATAAAGAGTAAATCTGATTGTCACTGTATTTGAAACTTGTGAAGCATTGATGGTTATTTGCCTCAGTCTGAGTGTTATTTCTGTGTAGCAGCCTGAGGCACAAGTGGATCCAACAAAAGAGCTCACAAGAATGATAGCTGAGCGGAAATATGATGAAGCATTCACTGCAGCCTTGCACAGAAGTGATGTCTCGATAGTTTCCTGGTTGTGTTCTCAGGTAAGTTCTGCTTCTGCTTATGTGGGCCACTGAATAATCGTACTCTCATTATAAGTCAATAATATGCAATCTGTAAGTATTTGTTTGACCATAGCAAAATTTTGTGCATCAGGGACCCGCCTTTATGGTTTTGATGCAGTGGTAGTATTTCTAACCACTGGTTGCCTTGGCATATGCCAGCATACAAAGCATTTATTTTTTAAGCGTTTGAGATTGATGACTCAATAAAATATGCATGCTTGTGGGTCCCAGCCAGGAAAGGGACCATGCTAATTGTATATATTAGTGTATTTGAAGTGAATTGTTAACATGGGAATTCAATTGTTTTCCTCAGCAATATTAATAGCTAAAGGATCTTGAACATTTGAACTCCTTTTACTCTAATTATTGATGACATTACTTTCCAAAAGCCATGATGTACATAATAGAAACCTCTAGTTTCAGACCTCACTTCGCTCTTAATTCACCAGGTCGATCTACAAGGGATTTTGTCAATGAAACCATGCCCACTGAGCCAAGGAGTTTTGCTGGCTCTTTTCCAGCAACTGGCTTGTGATATCAACAAGGAAACATCTAGAAAGCTTGCATGGATGACTGATGTAGCTGTTGCCATAAACCCCACAGATCCAATGATTGCAGTGCATGTGCTTCCCATCTTTAGGCAGGTCTGTCAGATAGTGGATCATCATCTACAAAGCTTGCCCAGTGCATCTGCATCAGAATCTACCAGCATCCGTGTTCTTATGTTTGTTATAAACAGTGTATTGAGCCGTAAATGATTATTGCCCCCTGCTCTTATTGTCGTAATATTTCCTGCAAATTTAAGAACATTTTGTTTTGTATAGAAATCTAGGTACTTTCATTGGGATTATCTCAGAAATTCAGTTTGCGTGGTTTCAATTCGTTTGAAGTAGTTAAAGTTTTTTATGTTCCTGTGATTCTTCTCAAGCACTCATCAGTGTATTGTGTGCTGACTGACGTATGCTCCTTCAGGGGATTCCGACCACCTGGTTGGTTTGGAAGATGTGAAATAAATAAATAAAGAGGTTGATGATGAGTAGAAATGGATTGGCAGGCGGTTTCTTGTATGTATGGAACGAGTTTATGGCAGGGGATTTTTCTCATGCACTCATCAGTGAATGGCTTTACTAATAAGTATTTTGATGAATGTACTAATAAGTATTTTGATGAATGTAAAAATTAAGATTTTTTTTAAGTAATATTTGTCGAAAATTTTTAAATTTGTGGTGATCTTTGTTAAATTTTAACATTTTGTCCCGTAATGTGTTTAAATGATTATTTATAGGTTTATATGAAGAATTCGAACATTCTAAGCTAATTTAGACAAAAAAAATATTCGAAAGCTTGCATAATTTGCATGAAGTAAAGAAATCACGCAAAGGCGGTGAATTAGTGTCACGGACTAAGCTTTCTCTCAATAAGCATTAGTCTGTGTGGCACTTGAATGGATGCTTCCATCCAAGTCAACCTTCAATAGATCGAGATCTGAACAAATAATCATAAATCATGGTTAGTCTCAAGCATTCACAATAAGGCACAATATATCGAAGTCAATCTCAAGCATACACACAACAAGGCACATTCACATCGAGAAAGAAAGAAACACATCGAGGCAACAATCGGACATTCAATCGGGGTGAATTATATTATAAACGGGAATCATACATCGGGACCTTCCACCATCACCAGGGCCAGGGGGCAGCCCTTGGTGGGTGGCCTAAGCTCGCATAGCACCCGGTGAGACAGCCCAACACTACGCTGCCGGCTCACCCCCCTAAAGAGCCTTAGAACTTTTAAAGCTATGCTACCAGTAACCGTTACAATGTTTAAAATGGGGACACTTTTCCTAGCACAAGGGATCTACCCGGCCATGGCCCTATACAAGGGTGGCTCATGACATCCTCCCCCACCTATTCTATCGACGTCCTCGTCGACTTGCTGGCTTGAAATTCTTCAATCTTCCTTTGAAATCTCTGGAGGTCATGTTCTCTCTCCCAACTGGTTTCTTCTAGTCCTAAGCCCTCCCACTTCACTAAGTATTCCCAAACTAGTCTTCGAGATATCTTGGTTTCCCTGTCAGCTAAGATCTCTTCGACTCGACGCTTTGAGGGTGGCTTCATGGTGATGGCGGCTCTGGTTGACTCCCTTCGGCTAATATCTGTAGGATCTGCATGGAAAGGCTTTAGGTTGCTTACATGAAATACTGGGTGCACCTTCATCCACTTCGGTGGGTCGATTTTGTAAGAAGCTTTCCCCACCTTGGAAATGACTCTTACTGGACCTTCATATTTGCGCACCAGTCTACGATCTCTCTTTCTTAAGAACCTGGTTTGTTCTGGAACTAGTCGGACCAAAACCAAATCACCAACTTGGAATTGTTGAGCTCTGCGATTCTTGTCTGCCCATTTCTTCATCCGCTTTGATGCCTTCTCCAGGTAAGCTTGTGCAATCTCTGTGTTTTGTTTCCACTCCTTGCTGAAGTTGAAAGCTCTCGGATTCTTTCCTCCATATTGTTCCAAAGAAGTGTGGGGTAGCCTTGGTAGTTGTCCAGTGACCACCTCAAATGGGCTCTTGTTAGTGGAAGAGCTCTTGTTGGAATTGAAGTAGAGTTGAGCAACGTCCAACAATGAAGGCTAGTCCTTTTGGTTGGCTTGGACAAAGTGCCTCAAATATTCCTCCAACAATCCATTGAAACGTTTCGTTTGGCCATCGGTCTGAGGATGGTAGCTTGAAGAGATGTTGAGTTGGGACCCCAAAATCTTGAAAAGTTCCCTCCAAAAAGACCCCGTGAATCTCGAATCTCTATCACTGACGATGTTTTGAGGGAGGCCCCAATATTTGACCACATGTTTGAACAATAGTCGAGCTGTGTCTTCTGCTGTACAATACTTGTGAGCGGGGATGAATGTGGTATACTTGGAGAACCGATCAATTACCACCAAGATAGTTCCAAGATCCCCAACCTTGGGTAGGCTCGAAATGAAATCGAGGGAGATGCTTTCCCACGGTTTGGTGGGTACCGGCAATGGTTCCAACATGCCCGCAGGTTTCCTCTTTTCAACTTTGTCTTGTTGGCAAATGAGGCAAGTCTTCGTGTAGTCCATCACATCTTGTCGCATGTGGGGCCAATAGTATCCTTGTTTCAGTAACGCTAAAGTGCGTTGCCAGCCTGGGTGTCCCGCCCATGGGGTGTCATGGCATTCCCTCATCAGCATCTGTCTCAGCCCTCCTGCTCTCGGCACAAACACTCGAGGCCCCTTGGTCCACAAGACACCATTTTCTTGCCAGAAGTATTTGGATTTCCCTTCTTCCACTAGCTTCAAGATGGCACAGGCTTGCGGGTCCTTCCCTAGATGATCTCCAATCAACTTATGAATGTCCGTAGTGGCTCTACTGGTTGCCATTGGGGCCATTCTTCTGAGGGCCGCCAACTCTGGTCGCCTGCTCAATGCATCCGCCACTTGATTGGTCTTTCCAGCGGTATGCTCAAGGTGGAAGTCGAACTCCGCTAAAAATTCCTGTCACCTAGCTTGTTTCGCCGTAAGCCTTGGTTGGGTAAGAAAGTGGCTAACGGCTGTGTTATCCGTCTTCACGACAAAGTGTGAACCCAACAAGTAATGTCGCCAAGCCTTCAAGCAATGAACCACCGCCAGGAGCTCTTTTTCCTGGGCCGTATATTGCCTCTCCGCTTCGCTTAGCTTCCTACTTTCAAATGCTATCGGGTGATGTTGTTGTAAAAGCACACCTCCAATAGCAAAATTTGATGCATCTGTCTGAACTTCAAAAGGCTTTTCAATATCGGGGAGAGCTAAGATGGGATCTTTCATAATAACATCTTTCAATCTCTCAAAGGCCTCTTGGCACTTGTTGGTCCAACACCATTTATGCTCCTTCTTCAATAACTCCGTGAGGGCCGTGGTCTTGTGAGAGTACCCTTCCACAAACCTTCTATAATAGTTGGCTAGTCCCAAAAATGAGCGGAGTTCACTAACATTCTTTGGTGTAGTCCACTCTTTAATGGCCCTAACCTTTTTCATGTCCATTCGAATGTGGCCACGTTCGACAATGTGACCGAAGAAGTGGATTTGGGTCTGAGCAAACGCGTATTTCTCCCTTTTTACATATAACTGGTGGTCCTGCAGCCTTTCAAAAACCCGGCGTAGGTGTTCTTGATGTTCTTCCAAGGTGGAGCTATACACCACTATATCGTCTAAATAAATGACTACAAATTTGTCAAGGTAGTCATGGAACACCTGATTCATTAATGTACAAAATGTGACAAGAGCATTGGTTAGTCCAAAGGGCATAACAAGAAATTCAAATACGCCATACCGTGTTACACAAGTGGTCTTTGGCTCATCTCCCTCAACGATTCTGACTTGATGGTATCCAAATCTCAGGTCCAGTTTGGAGAAGTACTTGGCCCGGCTCAATTGATCAAATAAGTCGGCTATAAGCGGGATAGGGTATTTGTTTCTTACGGTGACTTTGTTCAGGGCCCTGTAGTCCACACATAAGTGCAAACTCCCATCATGCTTCTTCTAGAATAGCACTGGTGCTCCGAAAGGAGCCTTTGATGGTCGAATGAACCCGGCTTGTAGAAGCTCATCTAACTGTTTTCTCAGCTCGGCCAACTCTGGCGGGGCCATGCGATAGGGAGCTCTAGCAGGGGGTTTTGCTCCTGGGAGGAGCTCAATTTCGTGGTCCACTGCTCGTCGAGGGGGTAGAACCTTAGGCAACATCTCTGGCATCACCCCTCCGAATTCTTCCAACACTTTCTTTACATCATCGGGTATTGGTTCTACTTCTGACCCTTCTTTGTAGATCGACATGGCGACAAACGAGGGTTCCCCTCTCTTTACCCCTTTCTTGAATTGCAAAGCCGAAATCATTTTCTTTTCACTCTTTGGCAAGATATTGGCTGGCACCACACATGGGTGTTCTTCTAAGAACAACAAGCAGCTAACAGAGGGGATAGGGATTGCCTGAGCCAACATCATGAAGTCCAATCCTAGAATGACATCAAAGTCATCCATAGGGGAGACTGTGAAGTCTACCTTCCTTTCCCATGGCCCCAATGGGGTTGTCACACTTTTCGAGCTTTCACTGATCGCAAAGGCTGGCGAATTGACCGCCTTCATTCGCCCACAATCTTTACTAATCTGAAGACTACACCTTTTTGCTTCTTCTGGTGTGATGAAAGTGTCGGTTGCACCCGTATCCACCATGGCCTTGGTGGCTTTCCCATTGATCATCAAGTTCACGTACATCAAGCCTCTACTTTGCTCTTTTTTTATAGTGTTCAATTGGGTGCGGAGGGCACTGAGGAACCTTATTGAACCCATCATGACCGGCTCTTATTCAGCTTCTTCAACGCTCTCTGGCGCTTTTACGGACTCTTGGGATGAGGTCCTTAAGGCATTAAGGGCTCTTCGGTGCGGGCATTCAGCCACTCGATGCGGCCCCTTGCAAAGAAAGCAAGCTAGCGGTTGTCTGGGCCTGAAAATCCCTGTGTTGTTTGTCTTGGGCTGGGTGCTATCTCGCCCAAAGGACCTCCTGTCTGATCCCCCACTGAAGGGTCGGTCCAACCTGGTCATCTTTCCCCCACTCCCAAGGTTAAAGCTACTGCCAGTTGATGGAGGATTTTTTCGTTTTAAGGAGCCATCATTGTAATCATGAAGACGTTCCGCTGCAGCCATGGCCGTGGCCACATCTTGCACTTTCTGCCTTTGTAGCACTGTCCTCGCCCACGGCTTGAGGCCCTCAAGAAAATAGAACATCTTGTCCTTTTCGAACATGTCCCGAATATCTAGCATCAAGGTAGAAAAGTTCCTTATGAACTCTCGCACTGTTCCGGTTTGCACCAACTCTCGAAGTCTCTTTCGAGCCATATATTCCACATTCTCCGAAAAAAATTGGTTTTTCAGTTCTCGCTTCAGATCCGTCTAAGTCTTAATCAGGCACTCGTCAAATACAAACTTGGAGCGCCACCACAACTTGGCATCCCCTGTGAGGTACATCGATGCCATTGTCACCTTGTCTTCCTCTGAACTTGTGTGTACAGCTTGGAAGTATTGTTCCATGTCGAACAAGAAATTCTCAAGTTCCTTAGCATCCCTTGCCCCCTCATAGTATCGAGG